TCAAGAGATCCCCATGCCTCAGCCTCCTGAAGTGCTGGGATTACAGGTGTGAGCCACCACACGCTGGGAAGGTTTCTTTTAAAATGTGAAATCAGGCCAGGCGTGGTGGCTCACGCTTTTAATCCTAGCACTCTGGGAGGCCGAGGCAGGAGGATCACTCAAGATCAGGAGTTCAAGACCAGCTTGAGCAAGAGTGAGACCCCCATCTCTACTGAAAATAGAAATTATCTGGAGAATTATAAATATTTATAGAAAAAATTATCCGGGCACAGTGGAGCGTGCCTGTAGTCTCAGCTACTTGGGAGGCTGAGGCAGGAGGATCACTTGAGCCCAGGAGTTGGAGGTTGCTGTGAGCTATGATGATGCCACGGCACTCTAGCCGGAGCAACAGAGTGAAACTCTGTCTCAAGAAAAAGAAAAAAAAAGCGAAATTATAGAGCAGGTTAGTGTGTGGCTAGAAATGATGATGATGGGGATGGTGACAGTGATAGTAGAACAGAGGGGGACAGAGGAGACAGCTGTTTGCCAAGCTCCGAGGAGGTAGAGGAGCCGGGATCAGAGCATGTGCCGGAGACAACGCTTCTGCCGGGGGAGGGGCAGAAGCCAGCACACTTGCAGATGTGGCAGTGGAGGCTGAAGGTACTCATTCTGTTGAATGCTATTTCCCCAGTGTGTCTGCACGGTGACAGGGGGTGGGGACAGAGAGGAGGAGGTTTGAAGGTCTTGGGTAGGAGAAAAGCTGCCACTCTAGGGCACAGGGTCTTTGGGCAGCAGGACGAGCCTGCCTATCTGAGGCTGGCGGTCACAGTGGCAGTGAGGATGCAGTCGCCTGCTTCTATGAACCCTGGCTCTGCGCAGCTGCCAGGGTGCGGACACAGAGGAGAGTGTCTGGGTTTACCCGAGACGCTGGGGCTTTGCCAGACAAATAAGATGACAGGACAGACAGGAGCAAGGGAGTGACTCCAGGGATGGAGCACAGAGTCCCAGCGGGACCAGCATGGACAGGGCCCTGACGACAGCCAGTCGGGAAAGGGTCACTGTCGGTCAGCGTGGCTGGACAGAAGCGGTCTTGGTTGTGCTAGAGGGAATGCGCTAGAAGGAGAGGAGGTGGCCAGAGGAGGGTGCTGGCTCCCTGAGGACAGAGCGAGGCTGTCCTGAACACAGCGGTGCCCCAGCGCCTGGCATGGAGCAGGCAGGCACGCAGCGAAACCCTCCTTGAAGGAGACTGTCATTTCATCTCTTTCCTTGTAGTTTCCCGGAGGATCTGCAAAGTGTCTGAGTCTCAGCAGGGAACGAGTATTTTGTGTGCACGTCCGTGAAAGCCCTTCCGCCCTCCCGTGCACCGGCTCCTCGCCAGCTCAGGCTTCCTGGTCTCCAGCTGGGCTCATGCGAATTTGGCCTCCACCCTGCTCCTCGCCTGAGGGTGACACCAGCTCCTCGCAGGCCCCCAGGGCCTCTCATGCTCTGCGCCCTCCTCTGCCCCCCCACCACCACCCGTGTCCCTGCTCTCCTCGCCTTTGGCCCAGGTGGGTCCGTCGTCAGCCTAGAAAGCCCGGCTTGCTGGCTGCCGGTGGAGCCCTGCCTGCCCCCCAGCTGCACGCAGAGGCCCCTCCCATGTACCCGGCCGGCGGCTGCCCCCCTGCCGACTGCCATCTCTCCGTGCAGAGACAGAGGGAGCCGGCTGTCTACATGCTGTCCATCTGCTCCCGTGGATTTGAGCCCACGGGTGGCAGAGGTCAGGCCTGGGTCATCTGTGTCCCTGGAGCCCAGCACAGGGAACTGGTGTGTGTGGCAGCAAGTGTGAGCGAGGGTCTGTGTGCCCCTCGAGGGACCCCGAGTACCCTGCCAGGAGGGGGAGCGAAGAGGTGCGGGCTGTGGCCACGCGGAGGATCGAGGGGGGCTGCTCTGGGGGCTTTATTGTCACAAGTCTGTACACTGTACGTGGCAGGAGGGAAGGGCAGGGGTGGGGTTCCCCTCCCAGGCTTCCCGCCTTGTCCTGCAGGCCAGAGCAGACACAGGGCTGTGCCACAGATGCCCACTGTCTGCCCACTGGCCCACCCTCCTGTCCCGGGGAGAGCGCCTGTCTGCTCCGGCTGCCCCTCTGCACGGTGCTCAGGGCCGCTCACAGGGGGCAGGGCCCTTCCTCCGCTCGCGACTCAGCAGCGTCACCAGCTTGGCCTTGAAGCCCGCCTGAGCGCCAGGGCGGCCGGTGCCCCCTGCCTCGTCCAGCTCCAGCTCCAGCAGCCGCCGGTACTGGGCCTCCAGGCTGCTGTCCTGGGCCGGGCCGGGCCAGGTCGGGTCCTCGCTGCTGTGGCACACGGGGCTGGCCAGGGGGCTGCGGGCGCAGGGGCCTTCCTGGGGGTCGGGGCTGGCATCGGGCGGCGAGGGGCCGGCCTCGGGCGTGCACAGGTTCTCGTAGAGGTGCTCGGCGGCGGCCGGGGGCCCGCTGGCCCGCTTGCACACGACTGCGTACAGCACGGGCGCCGCGGGCTCGCCCGGCGCGGGCCCCAGCAGCAGCGGCAGGCTCTGGGGCCCGGAATCGGCCAGGCGCAGCCTCCTGGAGGTGGGCGGCTCAGGCCCCGGCGGCGGCACCTCCTGCAGCTCTCCAGGGGGGTCCAGCGAGGGCAGGGAGGTGGCCCGAGGGAGGGGACAGGGCCTGGGCCCGGTCAGCCCCGGCAGCCGCTCCCGCTGGCGGGCGATGGCGGCGGCCACAGCCCCGCAGATGTCGGGGGCCCGGGGGCTGCTGAAGGCGAAGAGGCCCTCGCCCGAGTCGCAGCGGCGGCCAGCCTCAAAGGAGAACACGCCCTGGCACGGGCGACACGGCAGGGGTCAGCCACCGGAGGCCCAAGGCGCTGCCACCCCCGCAGGGACCAGCACCTCACCTTGTCGGAGCCGAACTTGCGCAGGAAGCGGTAGGGCCAGCTGTAGAGGGCCTGGGGGCCGGCCCGGTCCCTCAGCTGGATGGCGTCCCGGCCCAGCACCAGCAGGTAGGGCCCCTTCAGCAGGCAGCGGGCCGCGGCCTCCGTCCTCTGCACCACCACCGGGAACCCGCCCGCTGCGCAGGTGGCGAGGCGCCCGTCAGCCCCCAGAGCCCTGGCCCCGGGTGAGCCCCGGCCCCGGGTGAGCCCGGGCCTGGGTGTGGCGGGCTGAGGCTGCCCTGCGCCCCCCCATCGACTCACCTTCCTGCCAGGAGGAGTAGATGGAGTTTTCCTCCATGGGGACAGGGCCCCTCCTGGGAGACTCAGCCGGCCCTGGTCCTGAGGCAGACTCCCCGGTGCCCTGGGGAACAGGCTGGAGTCAGGGGTCAGGATCCCAGGGCTCCATGGCAAGCAAGGGCATCCAGGGACCCGGCGCCAGGCCCGGCTCTGCCCTGACGCACTCCATGAGCCCGGGCCCTCCCACCTGTGCCCCGCTGCCAGACGGGGCTGCACACACCCACCCCGCTCCCCCTTGAGGGTGCTGGGCGGGGGAGAGGTGCTGTGCCTGAGGGTGTCCGAGAGCTACAGATCCCTGGGCACACCAGAGATGTCCCCACCGCCCTTGACCTTGGCGAGGGACAGGCTCCCTGACAGCTTGGAGGAGAGAAGAGGCAGGATGGGGTGGGGGTGAGCAACACCCCCAGACTTCCTCCCAGTCAATGCAGCCGCCTGCCCTGCCCCTGCCCCCTCTATCCCTCCCTCCCCCGCTCCGTCCCCCTTATCCGCAGTCCTCTAGCATGTCCTGACACTCTGACCCTCAGCACCTCCACCGTGACCCTTGGCTCACGGTAGCAAGGCCAGGTGCAAATGCAACAAATGCAACAGCTTCCTCACTCGTCCCCTTATCTTAGTGTGTTCAGTACATTCGCAAGGCTGTTCAGCCGTCACCACTATCCAGTTCCAGAAATGTTTCGTCACCCCACGTGGGAGTCCTGGGTCCACGAGCACGCACTCCCGGGCCCTCCCCGGCCCAGGCAGCCACATCCTGTGCCCTTCGTGTAAATGGAGTGGGACACAACGTGGCCTTCTGTGTCTGCCTCCTTTCACTTAGCATTGTGTGCTCAAGGTTCAGTCTTGTCACAGATGTCCCCATGTCACTCCTTGTTGTGGCTGAATAGTATTCCACTGTGTGGGCGGGCCACATTTTGCTTATCCATTTGCCAGCCGGAGGCCATTTGGGCCGTCCCTGCCTTTCGTCGATTGTGCATGGTGCTGCTGTGAACATTCGTGCGCGGGTTTTGTTGGAGCCCCTGTTCCAGTTCTCCTGGGTACGCACCCAGGAGTGGAACTGCTGGGTCATGTGGCAACTTGCAGTGTTTGAGGAACCGCCAGACTCATTTCCTTTGGGTGCATCACAAACCCCGGGAGGTTTCACCACTGTCGGAGCCTGGCTTGAACCCTCCAAAGGCTTTT